TAGCTTTACTCTTCGGTTACAATAAATACCCTAGGTTCTAAGTTACTTGCCTTTTCATGGTTAGCACGTTTTCAATACACAAACAATAATACTAAGGGCTTGTTTAGATGTACTCATTATCATTAATTCACTATTACAATAAAGTTATATAGTTATCTAAGATAAACTTAGATGTAGTTTCCCAAATAAGTTTGGGCGTTTTTGTTTTTTGGAAACTACTTTTTTCCAGCACTGTAGCACTTTCCTATTTGATAACGAGGAAGTGTTCCACTAAACTGAATACCGATGTATCTACTTACTTTATATTTATAGCTAAAAAGTGGATACCACAAGTTTCATGGTGACCATGGAACTTGTGGTATCCACTTCCCTAGAAGACACAATTTTTGAAATCATGTATTCTATAGAACAAATACGCTCTTATATTTTTTAAGAATTTTTTTTACTCTATTCACAATAGTTTGTTAAAAATCACTTTTTCTGGCAATAAATATCTAAAAACAATTGGAGCTCACTGCAATACTTAAATAATTAAATAATATTATGCATTATATTATACATAACAGCTAATGAGATAATATTATCCATAGTATATTAATTTGAGATAAGATAGTATATTTCAAATAAAATTAGTGGTCATCTATACAGGCCCTATTGTTTGATTCAATGGATAACAGTGTGTGATCTCTCTTTTCCACAAAGGGAAAAATATGAAACATGAACAAAAGGGTGTCTTTAGGGTCTAGTAGTTGAGAGTTGTGACTCCATGTAAAGTTGTAAACCATTCGAAAATAGGAAGTGATTACCCTTAAGCTACGTATTGGGAGTTGGTTTCCTTTTTATTGTAAAACATTCAGTTGGTTTCCTTCTTTCAAACATTCTTTGATGGAAATGGAAAAATATTTTATTTCAAAAAATAATGTATAGAGAGAATGTTTTAGTTAAAATTATAAATACTCTCAAAATCAGCTTTCTTGACATCCTACCCCCAATGCTTGTAGTATCATACCCTAGACCCTAATACTATATTTTCTTGTATTTATCCCCAAATCAAAAAGTTGATAAAATTAAAACGAAAATACTATTTTCAATAGCTTCCCCTATGTTTAGTATGTTTAGATTTTTAAAGCTTCCCCCTCCTCTCTCTCTCTCTCCCCCCAAACTCTACTCTATCTACTGAAGTCTCACTCTCTCTCTCTCTATGAAATCTCACTGGATATTTCTCTCTATGAAATCTGATATATACATCTCTCTCTCCAATTTTTTCCTATCTCTCTGCCCAAATTCTCTCTGTGTACTGAATCTTTCTCCAATCTCTCATTTTCCACTTCTTTCTATGTGCCTAAACTCTACCTCAAGAAAATATGTCTCCCATTTGTTTTCAAAAATTACAAAAAGCCCTTAAGAATATACTTTTTATGCAACTTACCCCCAACCTATCTTTTTCTCTCACTTTTTTCTCCAAAATACACTTTCTATGCAAATTCCCCCTTAACCAAATAAAAAATAAAAAACATCTAAACTACACTCCCTTACTTTTACCTTACCTACACCCTCCTCTCCTCTATCATACCAAAATAAGGGCTATGGCAATAGGGCTTCGGCACTGTATAAAGTGCAGTCCAATAATTGCAAATGGCGGTTCGGCAGTTGCAAAGGGCAGTTCGGCAGTAAATGTTACTGGATTCCAGGGCTTCGACACTATATAAAGGGTGGTCCGGCAGTACTCAGTTTCGGTCCGGTAGTTCTCTTAGGGCAGTACGACACTTGTGCACTCCGGCAATGTGATGGTCTGCTCCGGCAATGTGCTATTGGGATCTAAAAGTCAACAGTCAAATCTGGCCAAAATGATTTTTGTTTTCATGAAGGGCATTTCCGTCTAAAAAAAATGAATTTTTTCCCTTAGGGGTATTTGCGTAGAAGGTTTGTTTTGGGGAAAAAAATTAAGAAAAAAATTAGGTAGGGGGTAAGTTGTATAGAACGTATGGTCTTGAGGGTTTTTTGTATTTTATTTTAATGTTTCTACAAAATCCACCAATGCTTTGAGTTAAACACGAGAACTCTTGCATCCTTCCCCTCCCTTTAATTCTCATCCACCGTATCCAAACCCAAACTCTCATTCACCCCATTCCTCCCCTCAAACCTCGCCAAAAACAAAGGAGACTATGAAAGCTTTATGGAAAAACCAAAAATCCCCATCGAAAAAACCAACCTCTCTCTTCCCCTTTCTCCCTCCATCCCAACTCCCATTCCCAACCATACAAAGCAGTGACTCCCATTGATTTTTAAAGAGAAAATCACCAACAAAAACGATTATTTTCCCTCTAATTCTCTCTAAAAGCTTCACCCCATCAGACCCCATTAACTCACACGCATCAGGCTGCCATCTCCATCTCTCATATCTCCAATATGTTCTCCCATTTTTCTGACAACTGGATTCATAGTGAATATATGAGCAATCCTTGTCTTTGTAAAAAAAACACTTCTCATCAAAGACCAATTTGCCTCAAAAGAGGTCGCACCTTGGTTTTGGAGTGAATCTCTTTTGGGGTTTGAGTTTTAGGCCAAAAACTTTGAAGAGAGAGAGCTGGGGTGGTTTTTAGAGTGATGTTGAGCTAGGAGGAAGGTGGCTATGGTAATTATGAGACTAAGCTGTAGGTTCTCTATGGTGTGGTTTGGCCATTGTTGGGTTGTGGAGTTTGTGGGAGGTGGGAGAGTAGAGAGAGAAAGAGAGAGGGCGGGTAGAAAGAGAAAAACAAAGAGCGTTGGGACTACAAAAATACAGGGGAAGGGAGCATTGACTTTTTTACTTAAGATAAATACAAGAAAATATAGTGTTGAGGTGTAGGATGCGATGCTAAAGGCATTGGGGGTAGGATATTTAAAAAGTTGGTTTTAGGAGGTATATATAATTTTTTGAAGGAAAATGGTTCGATAGGGCTGCAGCCCTATCAAAATAAATAAAGCTTCATCTCATAACTTATCTAAAATTATAGTTCAAGCATTGAAAAACCTTTACATTGATCATCTCGGCATACACATTGTGGTTGTGAAAAAAAAATGGGATTCTAAGCTCTAAATATAATGTATATTGTAACAATTTATTTAGACCATCCATTTCACCCTAAGAATAAGTGTTCATAGATCCTCAAGATTTGCATCATTTTTTAAGTTTCAAATCCTATTTGGCAGTGTTATAAATTGATTTTAGATCCATTATGGATATTTCTACTGCTGAAAGTGCTTTCTGGGCGAAGACTTGAGGTAAAGTTGTATTTTGTTTTCATAAAGCTGAGGACTTACAAAAACTTCATACTTTTCCCAATGTTTTACCTAAGCAAAAGTGACTTCAACTAGAAAAACCAAGAAAAGGGACCTTCACTCAAGGCCCAACAGTCCCATGACCCCAACAAATCATGGATTGAGCAGCTCTCAAAAATAACTAGTGGGTTTCTTCCTCAACCACCCATCATAACAGGGAAAAGTATCCCCTTCAGCCTGCCTTCTTTTCTAACTGCCCTCCCCTTTCCTCTCTTCTTCTTTTCTAACTGCCCTCCCCTTTCCTCTCTTTCCATTCTTGTCTGCTATCTCTTAAGTCAAGAATTGGCACCATTGTTTCAAAATCCGAAATAGGGTTCCAAATGGGTTGCCTTTCGAACCAAAGGTAATCAAGAGTTGGCACCATTGTTCTAAAATCCGAAACTAGGTTTTGAACTGGTCAACTTTCGAACAGAAGGTCACTATTTTTTTGGGGTAATTCAATGGAGAAGACATGTCTCTAATGTTTTCCCATATAGATTAGGGAGTTAGCTTTTTGAATGTATCAATGGTTGGTATCATGATTCGAAACTATTAGGTATAGGGGGGCTACCACCATGACCCAGCCCCTTTGCTAACGTCACTTGCTGAACAAATTCGGATCAGTGAGTAAATCTGATTTGGCAAGTCGGAAAGTTATGCAAACATAACTTAAAAATAAAAAGAGCTCAAATTTAAAATTTAGCCTTTCCCTTTTCTTTTTTTTTTGACAAAAAAAAAGAAAAAGAAAAGAAAGGGAAGACTAAATTAAAGGAAGTTGGTTTCCATCTCCCTTTTCTTGTGCTCTTTTTCCCTCTCTCGTATTTAAAAAGAGGTTGGTTTCCGATCCATTCTATATTATAAGCTTCTCTCTTTAAATTTGGTGTTCAATAGAATGTGTTTATACAATACGTTGGTTCGTCTTTCAAAGTTCAAGAAACAAAACAAGTTGGTTTCTAATATCCTCTCACTCCCGAATAATTATGAACAATTTTTTTTCTCTTTAGGAATTCAGTTTTTCTACTTCCCTTTCTCACCCTCGCGGCATAGCTCATGTCACCTCGTGTTATAAGAAAGCTAAGAAATGAGTTTCTCTCCCATCTCCTAATGGTAACAAAGAAGAAGGAAAGATTTCTATACTTCTCTCCGCATAGAAGAGAACCACTTATCATTTAATCTTAGATTCGATGTTTTAAAGTATTTTATTTTTAAGTTTCTTTATACAAATTGTATGAATATAAAATTTGGTACGTGCCATCTTTTCATTGAGTCGCACCTATAAAAAATATTACAGGTAATTTATCGATAAAATATAATGATCAAAATATTTTTGAAACTTTCAAAAGTAATTTGATCATTTTATTTTATTAAAAATAATATTTTTATGTTTTTAGTTAATAGAGGATTTGATGCATAAAATTTGGTACCAAAATAGTTTATAAAAAAAAATTTAAAATAAAATAATATAAAAATTTTGATCGAAACAATCTGAACCCTCCATTCAGAATGGACGGTTGGATAAATAGAAACATACAAGTTTTACATTGCAGGAAAAAAAAAAAGAAGGCAAATAAATTACTTTAAGTTTCACTTTCCCCCTCTCTCTCTAAACTCTCACCTTTTCCTTCATTTTCTCTCTAAGAAGTCGGTTTCTCTCTCATCACGACAATATAAGAGGGAAAACCATGCACCCTGGACTTTCTCTCTCTAGGGGATCCCTTCACCTTCGGTGGATTTCAAAAAAAACAAAAATCCGCCATTTCCTCTCTCTCTAATCTCTCTATCTTTATTATTTGAGTTATAAATTTTGACTACCAACCAGCCCATAAAAATTCCCAACATATCTTTGGCCCTTTCTCTCTCTACTATTTTGCCTTCTCCTTTCTCTCTCTACAATTTTGCCTTCTCTCAGGAATATCGGATCGCAGGCCCCAGCTGCTGAAGAAGAGAAGAAGAAGAAGCAAAGGCAAAGAGAAGAAGAGAGAGAGAGAGAAATCGAAACATGGTTTGTACAAGGCGCAGTGGATCTTTACCCAACAGTAGCAGCGCTAACAGCAATAACAATGGAAGCAACAGCAAACGCCCTTCGCCTGCTCCTGATAAACCCCCTTCTCCTAAACGACCAAAGGTAGAGAAAAAAAACAATCCAGATTGAATGCCCCTGGGTTGATCCCACCTCTCTCTCTCGCTCCTCTGATTCTAGGGTTTATTCCCCTTTTTGGGTTTTTTTTTTCCATTGAATTTTGGTGGTGATTTTTGCAGCAAGAGGAAGAGAAGCATCTGGTTGTTGATGATTGCGTGAATTCGAGAGAATTAGCCTCTGCTTCTGCAGATCTTCGGGAATGCCCGCCTCCTGATCTTGCTACCCCTTCTCCAAGAGAAACCCTAGTGGATGATTGCTCGGAAATGGAGAAAGATCGGTGTGATGCCCCGGCCTCTGAAACCAGGTCTGAGAAGGCGGTTGCTGCTTCCACGCCTTGTGCTACAGCTGGTAACTGTTTTGCTCTCTAGATCTCTCTTATTCTGCCATCTTTTTTATGGGTTTTCTTTTTGGTTTAGAAACGTAAGGTTTCTCTCTAATTTATCTCTTTCTCTTTGAATTTTTTTTTCTTTTTGGTGTCTTAGTGGCTTCACCTATGGTGCTGGATAAACCAAAGAGTTCTTTGTCATGGGGAAGGTATGGGAAGCAGTCGGCAACTTGGCATGCGTCGAATGTGTGGGGAAAGCTTCTATCGCAGTACTCTCAGGTAATCCAAAATCTTTTGCTTATTTTCTAAATGGAAAGATTCCGATTTAAAGATTGCTGTGTTGTATGATTTGTGAATTTGAGTTTTCTTTTATTTCATTTGACAGATAATTTTTTTTTGTGATTTTGGGGTTTAGCACACCTTTGTTCTGTACTTAAAGCTGGTTGCCGATTGGGATTTTTATTATGCAAGAAGCCCAAACTGCTTTTTGATTTTTCTTTTTTAGAAAGTTTTCTTTTTTCTTTGTTGTCTGCAAAGGCGGAAATCCATCTTTTCCTCTAAACAAGTATATTTGCTTTCATTTATCTGTCCAAGAAAAAAAAAAGTTTCACTCTTGATATTGTTAGTCTTGGATGCCATGTGGGTGGTTTACTGTGATCTTTTGTATGCCATCTACCATTACCACAGTTTCAGAGCTCGTGGACATTGATATTAGAAAACCAATACAAGAAATCAAACGAAAAATAAAACTCACTCGAAATCTCATGAATGATGGCTTGCCATTCAGCTACTCATACTTCCTGTTGTAATAGATGTGCATCTCCTCCCTGATACATGCGTATTAACATGCAAAAGAAGCGTACTTAATTCTCATGCATAACTGTGTGGGTATGCTGTATGTGCAAACGCTAGGGGCAACTGTTAGTCTATTACATGACATGATGTCTAGCATATATAGCTCCTATACATTACACAGCTTTTGGTTCAGGTTATGATGCCATATCTAGCACACACATGATGTGCATGTTGTAAACTATACAGTCTTTGGTTCATCTCCTGTCTGGGAAACAGGCAATGCATGGCCCTACTGTGTCTCGTATAGCGCAAATATCATGTCTATCCTAATTGTGTTAGGCAATCGGGAATACATGCCTAAATTATTTAGTTATCTTCAGCAATGCACGCTGACGATAGGTAGGCAGCCAACTTAAGACTTTGCTAAAATTTTGATGAATCCCTAATCTATTGGAGGATCAGGATTAGTGTAGCGGACCCCAAATAGTTGGGAAAATGCTCTAATGATGATGATGATGATCTTCAGCTATGCTTGTTCAATTATCCAACTGTTGGTTAGCTTTTTTCTTCTCTTTGCTGATCTTTGTTATCTTTGAACTATGGTGGCATCAAAATTCAATGAAAAAAATCATCTATGCTCCTTGTGATACCCCTTTTACCGCTCATTTCTATCACCATCACACTTTTTTTCTCGATGCACCTTTAGGCAACCAAGTAATTCTGTGCCACACGATCTTTCTGGAACTACTCCTTCTTGAAACCTTTACAAGTCAAGCTGCATTTCTACCTTCCGAATGGAACCTTTTTCTGGTACTCCACGTCCTAAACCTCTCAAGTTTATATCTTATTTTTAGATGCTTAATTTGCACTTGGTTTCTGGCCTTCGAAGAGAATTTGGTGTGAAAGTGGGAAGAAGGGCAGTTTGGGGAGCTTGATGATAGAATAGTTCTTGCCTAGGAGTCACTATAGAATGAACCTACCCAGGCTTGTGTCTCTGCTTCTGAAGAGGAATCAGGCTTCCGAGGTGTCTTTCTTCTAGAACCCAATTAAGTGTCAAGCTATATGTGTTGATTACTTTCAATGTGCAGCCTTCTTTTTGTCATCATCATCTCTCTTTCTCTCACACACACTGTCTCTTTGTCTTCATCCTTTTTTATTTTAACACATTAACGTGCAGAAATGAAACCCTTGACGTCATGTTGTCTGCCACCTTGACCAACCATGCCAAGGGTACATTTCTCGCTTGCTCTCTCTCTCTCTCTCTCTAAACTGCAGATTAACATATGAGTTCATAGATATTGTGAAATGTATGCATTTGGAGTGCGTGGTAGACCATAGTGCTGTTATACTGACATTCTCAGGTCATGGGTTTTATGAAGTTATCTGTCCAAATATTTTCCGATGAATGCATCTTGGTTTCTATGGTGGCTACTACACTCTTTATTTTCTTCTTTAATTATCAGATTTTTTTTCATTCAATCTTTAATACATGTTTGTTGGGTTGGCAAACTGATTATGGTTTTGGTTTTCATGTTTGTGGAAAATGATGGACATGGTATCATCAAGAATCCGCATGTGCCTTTATGCAATGCCATTTTCACCATTGGCAGCAACAAAACTTGCAACTTGTGCCTGAAGGATTCATCTGTCAGTGGGATGCTATGTAGACTCAAGCAGTTTCCGGTATTCTTTCTGCCAGTTTTCCATTGGGTATCAAGTATATGTATCTGGATTCTTGTTTCTTTATTTAACATCAAAAGAAATTCAGGCATGTACTGATTTGTTTTTTTTGCTATTTTTCGCCATGGGTCAGCGTGATGGTAGCATAGTTGCTCTACTTGAGTGCGCAGGGAGCAAAGGGTTTGTCCAGGTTAATGGGAGGACAATCAAGAGAAACTCACATTGCATTCTTAAAGCAGGAGATGAGCTGATCTTTAGTGCTACTGGGAACCATGCTTATGTATCTTTTCTATTGATAAAAAATTTAGTCCTTCTATGAACCGTCTGGCTATGTACCACAGTGTGGAACTTTAATTGATTGGCACCCAGTAAAACCACATGCTTGTATTGCCTACTTGCAATGCAGCTTTCTCTCTCTCTCTCTCTCTCTATATATATATATATCTGTTTTCCCTCAATCTGTGTGTGCGTGCGTGGGTGGGTATGCGGTTTTCCAGATATAGAATAAGATGCTGGGCTTTGTTGTGCACTACAAATTACTCTGGCTTTCTTTTTGCTGGGCATCCTTAATTTTTCTTGCAGATATTCCAGCAAGTCACCAACGAAAATGTCTCCCCGTCATTGCCTTCTACAGTTGGTATAATGGAAGGACCCAGTCCGGTTAAAGGTTTACACTTTGAAGCAAGGTCAGGGGATCCTTCAGCTGTAGCGGGTGCATCGATATTGGCTTCTCTATCAAGTTTGAGACAAGATTTGTCTGTTACATCCCCCCCTGCACAAAATGCTGATGAAACACCTCAGCAAGGAGCCGGGAGGCCTCCAATAGCTCCTCCTTGTGAAGCCCCCAGTGCTTGTATCGGAGATATAGATGTCGAGAGCCAGGAAAGGAAGAAAGTACCGGATGCTGATGTTTCTTCTTTAGGGGAGAAAGCTGCTGTTATGCTCTCTGCCGACATTGGGGTGACCAATGAAAACCTTCAGCTTGATAACATGAGCCCAGATACTCCTCTCGACCATGAAACATTGAAATTGACTGGGGATCCTGAAGCCTTAAAGCTTATCCGGATTATTCAAGGGTCGACTGGTTGTGACTTGGATAAGAACAGTAGCATCGTGAAACAACTGCTTGAAGAGAAAAGAGAACAGGACAAAGATTCTGATGCGGCTACAATTTCAAGTATGGCGGCCAAATGCCAAGCATTCAAGGAGGAACTGCATGCTGGTGTTCTAGATGGGACAGAAATTCAAGTTTCTTTTGAGGACTTCCCTTACTACTTGAGGTATAGCGCCTACTCTCAGTTGATCTAGTTTGATATTTTCAATTGGATCATGTTAAGTTTGGGATTGTGTATGGTGTATCATGTAACCTCTACCACATGGTTACCTATAAGTCACATCAACTGTCCATTATCAGCAAGTGATGATTGAGATTAGTACTCCTATGCCAAGGGCATTGTGCAGAGGAATGGATCACATCAACTGTCTGTTGTTGTCAATGGACGGTTGGTGATGTGTGGTTAACTGCTTGTAACTTGGAATGCGTAATAATAAGTTTCCCTATAAGCTTTCACATGTGGAAAGGATACTATAGTCTATCTGACTCTGCAAACACATAGTCCAATGTAATTGTCATCATCCAATGAAAAGTTGGCCACCTTTCAAATGCAGAGATGATGGTCAGTGATGGAGGGGGTGGGGAATGGGACCAGCCATTCTGGTATATGTCTTACTCATTTTCTCCATCACCATGCATCACTTGATTAAATGGTGATGATCCTAGTGGAAGTCTATGGTATTACTGTATATTTTCCTTTCATGATAATACAATGAAATACACCTTGCTTAGTGCATTCAATTAGTGCATTCAATTATTGCAAGGAAGAATATCCTTTTTTTAAAATGAAGAAGTAAGAGCTCATGAAAATTGAAGATATTCCGAGTAGAGATGGCAAAACGTTAATACAGGATAAAAGTCAATTTGATGGATGTGCTATGTATGTGTGCAGTCAAACTCCATTCCATCTCATCACGTGCAGTTCAAAAACTTGAAAATTGAACAAACAATATGTGATCACGAAATAGTAAACTTGTGCCCTCTGTTAGCAGCCTGGATGGTGGGATGCACCTAGCTTTCTTGCCTTGGCTGAATTCAAGTCTATAATGGATTTTTTCATTTCAAAAAGAAATAAATTTTTCTGTCTTTGTAATTTTACACTGTGCTAAGGGACTTACCAATATTCAAAGCATTTACAAGTGTCTTCCTTAAAGTGCCAAAACCTGGCAGAAGGCAGAAATGGGACCCAAGTTTGTATCATCTCTGTGAGACCATCACCTAGGCAGCCTGGGATGAGCTTCTCCCTTTCATGCCTATATTCATTGACACAAAGTTCACAGGGTTACTTAACAAAAGAACGTTATAGATGTGTAGTAGATAATGAGCACTACTCGCTTAGTTGCGAAGTGATTGTATTTTTTTGCATGGTGGTAATGGATCTCCATTCTGCCTCGTTTGTGGGAGTGGCTCTACCAACCCCACTTTTTCCCTCGTGCTATGTCCCTGCAAAACAAGAGCTCTCTCTCCCTCCCTCCTCCTCTCTCTCTCTCTCTCTCTCTCTCTCTCTCTCTCTCTCTCTCTCTCTCTACTCTACTCTACTCTACTACTACTACTACTACTACTACGTACTACTACTACGTACTACTACTACGTACTACGTAACGTAACGTAC